CCAGCCCTGTGAGGTAGGTTAGGCTGAGAGGCAGTGACTGCCCCAAAGTCATCCAATGGACTTCATGGACAAGTGGCAACTAGAACCCGGCTGCCCACAATCCCAGTCCAAGACTCTCACCATAACACTGCACTGGCTCTCAAATAATATTTATATATGGAAATTTAGAAATAGCTGCTATGCTGCAAATGGAAATGCAATATGTCTCACCACAGGGCGTGGGGACAGACCAGAAAGGCGACTGATGCGCCTTCTCAGACAAGCTCTTGAAGGATAGCTTCAGGGTCCCTGATCTCTTTTCTGTAGGCCCCCCAGTTTCTTGGCTCTTCTGCATCTCTCCCCACCCGCTGCACCTCTGGAGTGCAGGGCTTGTCATTCTCTCCTTCCACTCTACTCCCTTCCCGCTGCAGGTAAATTACAAGGTAAAGCTGATAATTACTTGAAATCTAGCATGGTCTGAAATAAAAATGATTCCTTTAAGAGGGCTTGGCATTCAGGGAAGTGGGAGCTGCATCCCTTGGTTCTGCCTTCAGGAATTGCAGGAGATGGCTCATAAACTGAAAAGACACATTTTTTAGAGGAGATGAGCTGTTGTCTTTTTTTAAGGTTTTGTTTAATTTACCATTGATGGGTTGTTGCTTTTTTTAAAGCACTGAAATATTCTGTGTTGCTGTGAAGCACCTGCTGTTCCCAGCTTCATCATAACACGTAATGTAGTGGAATTAGCAATACAGCCAGCCCTTAATGGCATCTCTTGGTGTGAGTGGGCCATTTATATACAGGGTGGTGCTTGGTTTTGTTTTGGTTTTGTATTTCTGCTCACCCTTTATGTTATTTATAAGGTTACTTAAAATGTGTTCCTTCTCCCTGTCTCCTTCAGGCAGACAAAAAAGCTTATCAAGCTCACTCTTTGGGGCTGCTAGGGTACCACAGCCGCTCACCCAGGCTTAATTTAAAACAAGCCCTATCCAATCCCTGGACAACAAGCCCTATCCAATCCCTGGAGAACCATTGTTCTATGGTTTGTTCAGGCATAGAACAAACTATGGCTGGGTGGGTGCAGAAATGGCTCCTTGCAGGCACGTGGCACAACGCAACCGCCAGGCCATGTTCAGCACTTTCTGTGCTGTTGCAAACTGCCCGAAGAGCTCTGGCTATTGGGCAGTGTTGCAATGAGATAAATAAATCAAACCTACCTGGAAAGGCAAAGGGGGTAACAATTAAAATGGCCAGAGAAGGGGATGTGGTGCCAAAAAAGAAAAGTATCCTGTGCTAATTAATAAATAGAGCTGCAAATGAAGAAACAATGGCTTTAATTTAAATAGAAAGGCAATGCATCTCACTGTGACCTGGTAATCTGCGTGCCTGCTCATGTGCTTGGCTGATGGGCAATTTGAAGGCCTTTCTCTGCTCTCTTTCTTACTGTTATCTCTAAGTGGGCATGGTGATTTAATTTTACCTTTCATTTCTACATAAGCCACCTCATGGATGTTCTGCCCCAAAGGGCATCCCAAAACTCTTCAAACAACTAAATAATGTTGGGCTTCTCATGTCATGGAGGACTTTGTTGTTTGCATTCAGAGAGGTGTTCTACTGGGAATACACAGTGCCAACCACAAGAACAAATTTGCTCATACTGCAGTCACTCCGTAATCCTAATCTTGAAATTCAGTAGTACTTCACACCAAATTTGGATTATGTTGGTGCAATAAATAAATAAATACATACATACATATGCATGCATTTAAAATTTTAAAAACACAGAATAAAACTCTGATATGAGTAGATAGGCATGGGGTTTCTAATGAAGAGAGAGCCAAAATCTTGGGGCAGTATCAGCTCCAAGTTTCAGAAGACCCGTGGGCAAGACACGTCGCATGGGCCCCTTCCTCTTTGAGCCTGCCCTCTCAGCTCATGGTCACCTGCCAGGTTTGACCATCAGCCTCTTGCTCATCAAGGCAGAGATCTGGTGAGCAAGATGGCAGCAGCGTCTCCTCATCATCATTGCTGGTGTTGCCCAGGCCAGAGCAAGAGGCTGGAGAATGAGCAGGTAACCATGGAAAGAGGGGGGCAACTCCAGGGGACTCATGCTGGTGGGTCCTCGCCGGGGTTATGGGCCTTGGCCAGTGCCCAGCCATGCCTACTCATGATGCCAGCCCTGGCTTGGGAGTAGAACACATGCTTTCAGATGTATCCCAATTTCATTCCCAGAATCCCAGCGGAAGGGTTTGGCATTATCAGGTTTGGCTTTATACAGGTAGCTTAAGACGCTGATGGAGCCTGTTAGAGCTGGCCACACTGGATGGCAACTCTGGTGCGGAAAAATCAAGCCGTCTCCTGCCCTTCCTCCAATTTAAATGAATTAGCGTATTAGCAAATAAGCAGTGCAAGTGCCTTTTGAAATAGGGAAGCAAAGGCAGCATCAACACAGCCTTGCCAATTGGACAGTGCTTCCAAAGTGAGAAATGAATAAACCAAGCAAGTTCAAACATAGTAAAACCAAACTTCCATTCGTGGTACAATGTTTATGGAACTTACTGCTCCAAGAAGCTACATGAGTTTTCTTTCTTGTCTTTGGAGGACAGCCGAAGGCCTCTCCGTTTCAGCATGTTTTGTTCTGCCTCTCTGGATTCATTTTTCCTTTTTTTTTTTTTTTTGACAGATTATATGGTCATTATCCCTGAGTTTTTACGTGTGCTTAACATATTTGCATTGCTTTTATATATTATGAATTGCTTTGTGAAGGGCTCAGCTGTAAAAAGTAGGACATATATAACTGGAGAAATATCATTAAATTATGGAAAAGAAAGGAAAAGCCATCTTTAATGTACTTTACCCTTTAATCATTTCTCTTTACGCTAAGACAGTAACATATCTGAGCCCTTCTTTCATAGTTCCTGTTTTTTGTTTTTTTTTTAAATTTGGGTGCACAAACCCATCTGTTAATCAACAAATGGTGCAAACCCATGCATGTTTTGACAGATGAAAGGCCTGCATCTCCCGGCATTTCCCAGTCAGGCTGGGGATGCTGGGAGATGGAGGCCTTTTTCTGTCTAAATATGCACCCTCTGGCTGCAACCTTCTGTTCATCTCCTGAATGCCATTAGACTTACTGCCAAGTAAACTGTAAGGCCATGCTATCAGAATATATATTATATTTTATCAGAAGTCTATAAAACTGAATAATTTGTGAAATGTACTTCACAACAGTACAATTCCAGTTACATAAGACGGTATGCTGCACACAAACAGAAAGATTGCACATGATCTGTGGGAGAGAAATAAAGTAAGAAAACTCCGCAAAACACTTTTGGGATGTTTGGCTCCATACAAGTTGTCTTCTTCCATGCAACAATGCTAAAGAGGGATTCCCCTGCAGGCACTGCTACTTGGGCTTGTAAAATTAGGGACTGTCTCAGTCCTTCCCTGGCCACGGGCCTTCTCCCTTCTGGAGACTTTCTCCTGTTCCTGGCTGGGCTGACGAATTTGCCCCCCCCCCCCCCCCCCCCCCCACCTCGGAGAAACAGCTTCAGTTGGTTTACTGTAACTGAACCTCTGCAAGCCCAAAGATGGGAGCCACACTTCAACTATATTTTTAGAGCTTTCATACAGGAGCGGGCAATGTGTGACTGTGCAGATGCAGTTGAATTATAGCTCCCATGATCCCTGGCCAGTGGCTTGGCTGTCTGGGCCTCATGGGAGTGTCAGTCCAACAACATCTAGAGGACCGGAAGTTGCCCCTCCCTGCTTTACTCAGTCAGCTGCAGCCTTCCCAAACCTGATGCCATCCAGAAGTTTCTGGACTGCAGCTTCCAGAATTCCTGATCCCTGCTCATGCTGGCTAGGTCTCATGGGAGTTGCTGTCCAAACTTCTCGAAGGGACCACACTGGGGAAGGCCAGTCTAAAGTACAGTGCTGTGCCTCTTTACCTAGAAGTCAATCAATCTCTCCCACTTCAGTCATTTGCTGGAGAATGTTGCCTACAAAAGCAAAAGCAGAATGAATGCGCCTGCCTGTCTTTACACAGGCAGCAGATTGCAGCGGCTGCGCCAAAGGGAGAGCAACACGTTGCGATGTATCAAGGAACTCTGTGCAAATATTAAACTAACACACCAGGGAGAACAGTTTGAGCCAAGAGAGCCTTCTGCTGTGCTCATGTTCTGCTTTGTAGGGAAGCTTTAACATAGGAGAGCACTGAAAATGTGATTCCCCACTTGCAGTGGAATGAACTGGTGTGGTCTCTTTCGCAGCCTCCCTCTCTTGCATGTCTGGCTCGGACCTTCAGATCCAAGACAGATTCCCCTAATCTGATGCAGATGGGCTGGACTGGGTCTGGTTCAGAGATCTTGGGCTTACCTCACTCTGAGACGGCCAAGGGAGGTGTGGATGTTCCCAGCTTTTCATTGTGCAAGCGTCTTTCTGACAGCCCGGAAAGCGAATCCTCCTGTCCCCACACTTCAGTGACAGTCTAGAAGACAGCAAGAGGCTCCCGTGGGGCTTTTCTCAGATTAGGAAGCCTGGGGATTTGGGGAGGTTGCAGAGTGACTGAGAGCCATGTAATAGAAATAACAACCCGCAGAACCCTCGTAGTGATTGATCAACAACAAAAGCACCTGCAGGAAATTCAAAATAACATGCAAAATCCCCTGGGAATGAGGCGGAGAAGAAATAGAAACCCAGAAATGAACTAGATGTGGGACATTGGCAAGGATGTGGAATGGGGGCCAGGTTGCCAACACAATTGACAAGGCCAGTGTAAAAAGGAGGAAAAAAGACAGGCACTTGTTACGACCCTCACCAACAGTGAGCCCAACTGATGCAAAATGGTTGCCGGATTCCCTTCCCCCTGGAGATTCTCAGTGCAATGGTTCTCCCACCACTCAATTTATCTCCCCACAAACACAGTGGAGCGCTTCAAGAGGAGACGTCAGCACAGCTCTGAGATCGCTTCTGATAAATAGTGAGGTCAACTTGGCTTACGGTTTCCATTTTCTTGACAGAGAAATTTCTCAGAACGACGCCCTGGAAAGTGTAGAGTCGGATGTTTTCTCCAATCTTCCTAAACTCTATGAAATGTGAGTAAATTGGATCAGCAATAAACTGGTGCATTCTCTGTGCTTATCATGCCGCAAATGTATTTGTGTAGGGGAGAAAAATGGAAAGGGGGGGGGGCAAAAAGATGACAAAATCAGGCAAACTCTGTCTTGCATGTGTGAGCTGTTAGGACACTGTCCCTCTAGAGAATACTAGTAATTCGGCAAAGATATAAGTTAGTACCAAGCTCATAAAGTGCACAGGAAAACTTAAATTGGAGTAGGCACATACAGCTTTGCAGGAAAAGTTGCTTTTCCTTTTCACAGAATCAAGGGTGCAGCCCGCATGGTTCAGTTTCCAATGAATGTTTTCTTTTATTTTCCACAGAAGAATTGAAAAAGCAAACAATCTTGTGTATATGGACAGATATGCCTTCCAGACTCTTCCAAATCTCAGATACTTGTAAGTAATGTGTCATTGAACGGTGGTATCCAACAAAAAGGTACTTTCATGGAATCTTTTTTCCCCTTTAACACATGAATCATGCAGCTCCTTTCTTGCACAGAATTTAGACATCTTCCTTTAAGATTGCTCCAGCTGAGGAGAAACCTCATATTCCTGAAGCTGAAGCAATACTCTTTGCTTACTGGTAAAATGAGTTTGAAAATAAAAGAAATCAGATCTGCAGCTAGTCATCCATCACTGTTTGTGAGCATTTTTGGAACATCATTGCATGAATATGTCAGGTGCTTTTCTTAGATTTGCGCCTGTGATGTCCCTGGTGAAATGCGACTTGTCTATAATAGTTATGATGTTGAAAACATTTCCACCTGTTTTAGGGTTGCAGCGATCCCATGCTATGAGCAGAACTGAAGGTAACAAGGAACTTGGCGGTATTACCGGAAAGGAACATGAGCTCTTTTTTTAAAACTGGCAAAGAGCAACCCTAACCTCCCCAGTACTTGAGGAACTTCCCAGGTTTTAAACAGCCTATAACATGCATGAGTCCACTGAAAGCTACGTTTTCTCTTTCTGCCCTGCTGGGGTGGACATTTGTCCAGCTTTTAATTGCACTACGAGCAAACTGCAGAGGGCCATTTGCTTGCAGCAAAAAATAGCTCCTCTTTTTACTGCCCAAACCGTGGCCACCACTGCCCAGCTGCTGGGATGGGAGAGCACATCTTCCATATGTGGAAGCACCTGAGAAGCACCTGCTCCAGCAGCCTCATTCAGCACATCCCATGGTGCCTGAATGGGCATCGTGATGAGGTTGGAGGTGCACTCAGGGCTGCACTGAACGCCTCAAGGTTTGATTTTCAGCTCTCCTGTGGGGATCCTGTGGTCCACACGTAGAAGGTCCAAGGTTAAATCCTTGACATCTGCACAAGCATAACCCCGGTAAGGCATGGAAAGGGTTCCCACAACCCACAAGCCTAAGCCAGCCCACACAGGTTCCCCATCTGCCATGGGGTCCTTTGTGGATTTCTCCAAGGGGTGGAATTCAGCCTTCCGCAAGGCAGTGCCAATTGAGGACAATTCCCAGTGGGGAAGCCAGGGTCATGGGGGACGTCCCTTGTGACTTGGGGCATTGGTTGGTCACCAAATGACCCAGTGCGCATGGCTCCACCCCCTGCCATCCCATGAAGCTCTGGCCTCCAGCCCAATAAGACTGCACACCTGATAGATGAGCACTTCCTATGCTTCTTATGTTCCTTCCTCGTGTGGACCACCCTTGGTAGTTCAGCACACAAATCCGGATTGGATGTTACACCATCGTTAGATCAGGAGTCTAAACTATTGTGCAAACAGTAAAACTAATAATTTGTTCATTAATAATTTGGGAAGTGATTTCATCCCACTCACTGTTTCGTCTCTCACCTGCACGGTGAATGTCTAAACTCCACATCCTGCCGAAAGTGGAAAGCCATTTGCCATGGCTTCCATTTACATGCAGTGCTGGGAGACGAGATGGCGTTTAATCAGAATGCATCTGATGATCAAGCTTAATTCCACATTCGTTTAAATAGCATTCTCCCCAGTGGATGTAGGTCTCACGATATGTCTGCCGCATCAGCTCCCATGGGGTTTCCATCATAATGCATGGATAATTAAACCCATCCTCTGAATAAAGTATTACCCAAAAATAGGCAAGCCACTGTTAGCATCTGACCTAAATCTGACTGATAATATATCTTCAGTTGTGATTAAACAAAGAAAATCTAATGAAATCCAGGAGACTCTTTTAAAAGCAGAAATGCAGGCTTAAGGCCTTTCCAGGCTAATCTACCCTGATTTTATTCTTAGCCCTCTACTAGCTGCCCAAGCACATGTTATGCTAATCACAATGCATGTCGCTGAGTCCTGTCCCTCTTTATACTTGGGAGTAAGTCTGTGTGGCCCAATTCAGAATGAGAGCACCACATACCTAAAAAGGAGGATTCATATGCATGCAGGCCCATGCGCTCCACTTGCTTCCCTAAGTTCTACCTGCGGGTAGGTACATAGTGCTTGAAAAGGGAGGTCTCCACTGACATCAATAAAGGCTCTTAAAATTGTGTTAACAGCAACACAGGAGCAGGATCTCAGTCCCTCACTTGTAATGCACCTGGTCTTGATCTGCATCAGAGCTGTGTCCTGTTACTGAACAGTGAAAAAAGCTTCCAATGATCAGTTGGTGCAATGTGCACGCCGATTCTAGTGCGAGCCCCAATTCAGAACTTCCAGCCAGTATGAATGATGTGTACGCCAGCATCAGGGAGGGAAAATGTTCAGCCTATGTGTGCATTCCTAGGGTTCAAGAAGCGAAAGGCACAAACATTCAAGGATATTGCAGAGCAGGTCTCCACAAAGCCAAGTGCAGGCAGGAAATGTAGCCAGTCCCTGGAAGCGCTGCACCCAAAGGACCAGCGCTGCACCCAAAGGACTGATTTCCACTGCAGTTTGGGGGCAGGTGGGAAGAGTGCGTGGGTTTGCACAGCTGGGGACTGTCCTGCATTTGCCCATTGCTCAGGGCCTCCTTTCCATAATTGCCCACACCTTGCATGGGCTGCCCTTTTGTCCGAACCCAGCAAGACGAGCAGCAGGCGTGGCTTGGAGCCCATCCCCACCACCCACCCTCACTGGGCTTGGATGGCACCTTGGTCTGTACAGGGAGCGAGTGATTCTGGAAAGGAGGCAAAGCCAGCTTGCTCGAGTTGTGCACAGCAAGAGAAACTCCCTCTTTTTCTTTTCTTTATGCATACTCTGCAGAAACAGAGATGACCTTGCCTCTCTCCCAAGCCCTCTCTATGCTACAGCAATGGTGTTGGGATCTGTTGGGAAGTAGAGTCACTCAGAGGTTTCTGGGGGGAGGGGAATGGTTTGCAGCTTCTGCTCTCAAAGCAAGCCACAATTCGATTTTTTAAGTCAGGGAAAGCTGCACAAATTCCAGCTGCAATGTGCATAAACAGCATAAATCGCAGCTGTGATTTGCACAAATGGAATAAATTCAGACAGCAATTTATGCAACTATCCCTGGCTTAAAGTGTGTGTGTGTGCGCGCATGCACACACATGCACATACAAATTGTGGCCCACTTTAAAACTGTGTGCTAGCTTGACCCACTTCAGAAAAGTCAGCACCAGTGCTAGGTTGCTGTCCTGGGATCTGGGAGGCCAAGCTGGCCTCCGTAGCAGATCTTTGTGGATCCTTGAATGGAAGCCTGAGAAGCGCACAGGGTGCGGGGGGACTAGCTCTTTGTAAAAGTATGTCTTTAATGAGTAGATCCTGATCTTCAAAGCGTTTGAGGGTGGATCATAGTCTCATTGCAAGCCTACGCATACTACCTTTCCTGTTAAAAATGGGAAAGCAAGCTTCAAGCCCTTGTGATCCAAAGAGGCAGCCAATTTCTCCTGCCATCTCTAATGCAGAAGGCGATTCTCTACCCCTGCTCTGATCTGTTCCAGGGGCACAAGATCTAAAACATAGTGATCTGTGGATTTGGTAAATCTGTTCAGTCTGCAGTGTGAGTTGCCGGGTATCTTTTGCTGCATTGTCCATTCATTGATGGAATAAGATTGTGTGCAAACACATTTTCTATTTCTATTATTTCCATTTATTATTTCTGCACAATCTCTCAGCCAAAGCTCTCTCATTTGTAGGCACTTACTCAAATTCACACTTGTGCAAATTTGCACCTTTGAAAATATGTACATCTTCCCCCAAATGCACATTTGCACACTATAGTCTATAGGTAGAAATGTGCATTTTCAGTCAGTCTTGTTTTATTTTTCATATTTTTCTCTAACTAAATTTATGCACAATTAGGAAAAGTTGGGAAAAACCTTCCTGGATGTCCATGGAATCTCTGCAGCTCAGGAAAAGCCAATATGCTGCAGAATCTGCCATTCAGGTTCAACAAAATCCACACATTTGAATCCGTTGTGTATTTCTCCAACACCCCCCTTAGAATGGCCTTGGGGACGCCACTTGGTTTTTAGAAGCTGTGACAAAGAGCCATTTGTCATTTCAGCTCTGAGAAGCTGGGCTCCACACCTGGTGCCAACTCCGCTGTGCAATTCTGTATTATTTTTCATTTTGGCATAGTAATGTATTTACAAACATTGCACCAGGCTGACTCTGTCCCTGGCATTATTTCACACCAATCATCCGAAGGGATGGAAAGCAGAAGCAGAGGAACCTGTGGATTTCATTACAACCCTGAACACTCCAGGGAGAACCCTTGAGTGGCTTTTAAAAAATCATGAATGAAGACAAGGCACTTAAGCCGCAGAAACAACTGTACATTTGGTGAGCGGGTTTTTCTGTTTCTCCTCCAAACAGCACATTGTTTAGCATGCACTTTAGCTTAACCTTCGACCCCTCCCACTGGGCGTACAACTGGGAGGAAGAAGGCAGATTATTTACAAAACCCTTGCATAGCTCTTTGAACAGCTCCTACCCTTCATTCCAGCTGCAGCAATTGCAAATCCAATAAGGTTTTTCCAGTTTCCATTTATTCCCTCAACTGTAGTTCAGCTGCAGCAGATCTTGCTGTTTTCCATGGTAATCCCTGCCCCCTGACAGCTGCAATATCCTAATTCTAATTTTGCTGCTTCATCTTTTTTTATTCAGCTAGTCAGTTAGTTTATCAAACTACTTTGATCTATAGAAGTTCCAGGGGAACTTCCAACATCTGCAACAAACATCTGCCTTGCTTTCTCATAGAACTTCCATAGCTTGCCCCATTTGCAGGGTTTTGATCATGCCCTTGACTGTGTTTGCAGTGATCCTGGACTGCAATACGGCTCTGTTCTCTTTATGTGAAGCATTTCTGGGTCACCCATCAACAAAGCTAAAACCATGAAGGAGAAAAGCAAGATCTTTACTTAAAATCCTAAACAGCATTGATAGAATGGCACTGGCATAAAATGAGAAACAGAAAGCAACATAAAGCATTCCTTCTAAAAAACTGGGGAAATTAA